TTGAAGCATTCACAACTTCTGGATTTCATATAATTGCCATGTTGTTCTTGGACTGCATGGATAATAATTACCCAATTACTGAGCATCTTCTCCCAACCTAGTTATCCTCCAGATGTCTTAGAAGTACAACTTTCATAATTACCTTCTAGGATGTAGAAGTCTATATTCAAATCCTGAAGCATTATTTTAAATATCTTTTTTGTGACTAATCAAATAAAACTGAGAAGAATTAAGCTTAATTTTATTTGTTTTCTTAATTTGAAATCCTCAATATTTTATTTTGCACATACCTATTGAATTCTTCTTGCTATTGTCCCTGAATCATTAATTCTATTATTATTCCATTTAAGAAATTATAGTTTATAGCAATATGTAGCTTGAAGAAGACATCAATCCTCACTGACTTTTTTTCTATACATTATAAACCATACACATCAAATTATTATCTTCACTACCAATCCTAGCAAGCAGCCTATCTAAACTGATAATCATGGGCAAAGCATTAGGGCTTCAATATGTTCAATACTGATTGCATACTTAATTTTTTAAAAAAAATATGAGTACCTTCTACTTTAAAAATACACATGCTGAATTCTACCGTTTGACTAGTCAAATTTCTACATATTTTAATTATGTTACTGCATGTTCTGTAAGATAACGGAAACTAAAAATTGATGAAGAAAACAATGTAACTGCAACAAAACCCACTAAGTGTCAGTCTAATCTGATGCTGAGTATATCCTGGGCTACTTCACAACCTGAATCTAAATAAAGGATCTTGGTGTCAAGGTTTTGTCCCAGATATGGAAAAATGGAACCCAACTAGAACTGTGTATGATTGATAGCAGTTAGAAAAAACTTGGTGGTCATGCGCCACAGCTTGACATATGGATACTAATCAGATTTAAACAGTGATATACTAAAACAGATACATATTCAGAATGAGCACATATTCCTTAATATTTGTAACAGAGCAACTATAAATTACAATGCTATAGACCTTCAATATCATTGAATGGAATTGGAATTGAAATGAAATTGAATCCAGAAATGGAATTGAATCCACAGTGGCCCAATAACATAAAATAGTGTTACAGCTATAAGGAAAAGTTAAGAGTGAACTTGTGTCTTTTTCCTTTGAGTTGTCTTTAAGCATCTTTTTACCTGAAATTGTTCAATTTACTAAAAATGATCTGAGGTAAATTGAAAGGATAAAAAAGTAGAAGTTACACTCTCTGATACAATACAGACCTTCTCTGGACCTCCTTCCAACATCCCAAGGAATATCAGAATGTTTAGATAATTAGGTTCAGATAACTAAAAACTACTTATTTACATAATAAATTCTGAACTTAACTACCATAGATTCTATGTAGAACTTTTAGTTGCTCATTCTCTTTGACTTATACACACACATAGAAATCTGATGTTCTTACAATACTACTTTAAAAAGCCAGAAGCTACAACAGTACAGTGACATTTAGAAAAAGAGGCAAGGGACATGCTGCAGTTTCCTTTGATTTCAAGGTAAACTACAAAACAATAAAATAGTGTTCCATTCAAAAACAGGTAAAGTTGTATCCTGCTATATTGTTGCTTTGTAAACTTATATAAGCCTGTATGCAAATGTATATATGAAATCTTATTGAGCCATGTCAAAAAAATTTAAAATTCAGTGCAGTGAATTAAATTATAATTTAAGATCATCGTGACAGCAGAAGACAGCAGGAGCACTTATTGTCACTCCCTTTTGGAGTTTAAGAAGCTTATTTTAGTATAGAAGCATAAACAAATGTATACTATTATACTGTCAGACTATCATTATGTAAAGTTTACAACATTTTGAAAGAAAAACACAATTGCATTCTATACATCATTGGACACTGGAGAAAGTTTTCATTGAAGTCCTATATATAAAAAACACAGTTGCTGAAATCCTTTGCTGAGTTATGTTTTCATGGGTTTGCATATGAATTAAATTGTATCTAATAGCTGATGTATTCATATAAAAGAATATTCAGCAGGTATAATTTACCTTCCAAAGAAATCAATGGGAATTGCCATTAATTATACCCATTAACTTTCAGTTAAAGAAAAAGACTAGCAGAACACAAGAACATCAGTGCCTATGTTCAATTTGGAAAAGTTCAACTCTTTTCCAAATATAAGACAAACACAATGTTGAGTTTTACTATTGCATTATTATCAATGTGTAAAAGATCACATATAACCAATTAAATGGAAGTCTTTCACCTATAAACTGTACTGCACTTACATTACAAAAGCACTTTACAAATAAGGTCCTGGAAAGGAATGGGCTTAATTTTCTTAGCAGAGCAGAAATAAATTATTTTTATACTGGTTAGTAGGAATGCTGAAAGTAGGAAGATTAAATTTATAGCTTTTTAAAGACAGGCATGTTACATATTATCACAAATGACAGAAGAGCCATATGTATGTTTCTGTACATGCACTTTATCAGATAATAAATACACTGATAATTTTAAAAAACCCTCAGTGTAATAAGTTAGGAGGATTAGAAAGCATGTACTTTTAAGAGGAATATGTGTTTATTTTCTAATCAGAAATGCTAATGAAAAAAACCACTTAAGCAATGCTGATTACTCATTCATTAATAGCCTTCTATCATTTGTATTTCTAATTTACCTATACTTGAAAATTGAGTTTTGTAATTTTTGAAATGCCTTTTGTAATAATGATCAATACAAGAAAACTACTCTGAATTTAATAAATGAAAATAACATCATTAAAACAACCAACTACAGAAATATTAAAATATTTCAAAAAAAAGTAAACACAGGCTGTAATGTAATTCTATTAAGTCTTCTCAAAAGGGAATCCCACTGAATAAATGAGCTTGTACCACAAGTTTAATATAAATTAAGTAATAAGCTCTCAGAACATAATGTATTTTATTTCTCAGTAAATAGTGTAAGACTGCATGGCAATTGTATCTAAAGCTATTTTTAAACATTCAAAATCAATAAAATACTATAATTAATACTTGCAATATTTGGGGAAAACTGTAATGCAACTTTTAATTTTTAAAGAATTCTAAATAGTGATCAGTGAAACTAGTATGTTCTGGAATTTCAAAAATTATTTCTTCAACTTTCTAAAACTACAAAATACAAAACTATTGCAAAATGAAACTATTCCAGTCTATATTAGAATGCAGCAAAATGTCTGTCTTCCCTGACAATGCAGAGAGTCTATAACCAAAGAGCTAAACTTTTATTTTCTGACCATTTTTATATATTCTGGAGAGCAAAAGCATTCATCTTTGCACTTCAAGGTGTTGGAGATAAAAAGACAGTTGCACATCAGTGGAGCATAAATAAGTAATTCGGTCCAATCAGGGGTAGCCTTTCTTTAAATTAACTAGTCCTTCAAATAAAAATTAGGTTAAAAATATAAAACCAATACAATACAGATAAGCTTTCCTCCAAGTTATCTTTAGATTTAATAACCAAGTGTTTGTAATGTCCATTTCTGCATAACTGAACACAGAAATCTTGCTGCCTGATCGAATAGTCCGAATCTTTCAGTGAAGCTGCTTTTAACGACAGCACCGGCAGCAGCTTTGTTTGATCTCTGCTGCCTTCCCTAATCTGGGTTGTCAAGGTTCACTTGTTGGAAGCTGTTTACTTTAAAAAAAAAAGTGACTCCCCCCTCCATCCCTCTCTCATACAATGACTAAAAAGACTGAAAGGAAAGAATGCTGCCAATGTAAGAAGTTACAGCTGAAATACCTTTTTGCAATGAAATTGTAGCTGACACATTTTGAACAAAAGTGACAAGGTTCTCTCATTCTTTCATCCTGCATAGTACTAAAAACATTAAATTGAATTACACATCATTTGAAACAGTCCAAATTTCTTTACAATCCTCTTAATTGCAATTCTTCCCCCAGACTCACTTTGAGTTTAACACAACTCAATGGCTATTTCCTTTTTAAGCTTGGAAAATCCTTGTTTCTTCTTCATTAAAAAAAAAATCATAAAGTATTTAAAAGGTTTCCTTTCCTCTTTGGCGTTGTACAATTAAAAGTAGAAGCAATTACATTAAACAAATAGCATCAGCAGTATTCCTTATAATTATCTATAATAGTACAAAAATTCCCACGAGACTTTTGTGACTTCATAAAAATTAGATTTTAAAAAAGTAAATGTTAAAACTACCTAGTAAATAGGAAATAAATTGTATGCATCTTTAAATAATATAATTCAACCTATGAACATTCCATGTATCAAACCTACACACCATATGTAAATTTTATCCCATTATGCATTCATAACATTGATCAGAAATGAAACCTGAAACTTCTAAGGGTTCTCATTCTCAAACAACAAGGCATTTGAAAGCAACCATATGCTTCTAAAAACTCAATTTATCTGCCAAAGAAGCGGGAATGTTTCACTTTTTTAAACAGAATCAACAGACATTCCAGAGATCATATTGGGCATGTAACTTCAACATTCCTACCCCAACTGAAACCAACATAAACTGGCCCACTGTCTTCCATAGTTATTCCTGCACTTTTTGTCTTGCTGCATTCTATTTAAAAAAATGGGGTAAAAAATTAAACCATGTCAGATGTAGACACTGCAAAATCAATACACTTAGGAATCAGGCTAGCAGCAGTATCAGAACACAATGACTTGGAAATAATTAATAGTTATCAAGCAGGATGGGATGAAATGGGGAAGGAGACAATTGTCATCATCTTTTATGACAGCATTTATATTGTTTGCTAAACTCCTGAACTCTAATTTTAAGTTTAAAAATAAGGACTGGATTCTGGGTTGTATGCAACCCTTTTTTCTTTCTCTCATTTCCATGGTTTGAAGCAAAAAAAAAATCTGAGCCCACACATCTGGCAAATTGGAGGGGTTTTTTTGTTCTTTCTGAATGATTCACAATTGTTCTCCTATAGCCGGTGTTTTGCTTAAAGCCTCCACTGGTTCTCTTATACTTACCTATAGAAAAAAGCTCTGTAATGGTGTGATTGCCACTGTCAGCACCCAACTCCTAACTCAGGGGGCTCTTGTTGCTCCTTTGATCTCCGGCAGGCAAAAACTTTGTGTTCTATAGTCGAGAAGAAACCAAGGGTACTTTCAGTAAGTCTCCACAAAATAGATTTTGGTTAAGAAACGGGGAAGCTAAGACCTGGAAGAGGGAGGGGAAAATATGTGCTTGTGTCTAAGGGATTGAGGGGGGGGGGTGTCTTGGAAAGCACTTGCAAGAAAGGAAATCAAGAACTCTGCTCTAGTAATGGTATTTAAAATTGTGACAGACACAGAGTCTCCCTTTCACTCTCGTGTTTCAACGCTCCTCCAAACTCAGCTGGAAATCTGCTGGGTTTTTTGTTTTTGTTTTGCAGAAGGGATGCCCCAAAAGCAAATCATGGCAAGATGCTTGGATGTGGGGAAACTGCAGGTCAAAAGACGGCTACAACCGAGGCACTCAAGGCGGGGGAAGCAGCCGCTGCCCGGAGGGTGAGGCGGAAAGACGTGCTCTCATTTCCAAGCACAGGAGGGAAGGGGAGAAAAAAAAAGGAAATATCGTGCTGGGGTAGGGACTGTTACGCTTCAAAATCACTCTAGCTCTGCCGTCATCGCAAGACCCAATAACAGGTGGAGGGGCACCGAGGTAGCCCCTGAAGGGAGTTAGGAAAAGCAAAAAGGGCCCGGGTACCTGGCTGCTCGCGCAGCCGGAGTTGCAGCGCCCCGTGCTAACTTTTCCTAAACTCTCCCCCGGCTGAGAAGACGTTCGGCTCCCCACAGCCACCGGAGGCGGCGAAACACCCGGCACGTCCGGCGGCAGTAAACCAGTACCAGGTACAAGAGACCGAGGGACTTTAGCGCAGGCAAAGGAGCTAAAAGGACAGCAAGGGCGAGATTATGGTACTGTAGTGTGGGACTTTGATTGACAGGGGTGGGGGGGTGAGAGAGACAGACAGACAGACAGAGAGAGAAACGAGGGAGACTAAGTCAGTGATGCTGCTTGTGTGAAGGATGCGTCCGTCCGTTGTGGACGGGTGTTGCCGAGCGCTTGGGAAATAAATAGCACGTCTGGGGCTCCCTCGAGCGTGTCTTCCTGCAATGTGCGGCGACCGCTCCTTGAACAAGAAGAGAAAAGGCGCGCGACTCGTTGCGCGGGAAGTTCTCCTTATGCCCGACACCGAGCACAAGGCACGGGGCGGAGTGGGGGTGGCGGGTGGGGGGTGGGAAGAAATCTTCGACGACCCTTCGACATACCTGCACGCATTCCTTACATTGCCCGTGCGAGCGGGAGCGTGTGCATGCGTGCGCGTGAACGTGTAAATTTGTGGCGTCTGTTCTTGCTTTCCTTCCGTTGGATTTAAAAGGTATCTCTTGTGCGTTGAAAGTTACTAATTTCCGCGCGCCTCCAGTCCTATTGCGAGCGTGGATTACCCATCGCAGAAGTGCTTTGGCCGGTGTGGGTCTTTAGAAACGAGAGAGGTTAGTACTGTTGTCGGCTTGGTCACTTGTGTCAATAATCGGAGTGTTCCTAACTTCTATAGTTCTAGTCCGAAGGTGTCTTTGTCATGAAATATGCTACGGTTGGCGCGGGGCATTAGCAGTTCAATCGGTCTGATTGTTGTGAAATGCAAGTCTAATAGGCGCGATTAAGTGAGCGCTCTGGAGTGCACGAACTGGCAAATTGTTTTCTGTGGTTTGCACACTCATACAAACCCTCGGGATGGAGAGAGGTAGGAAAGGAAGCCTGGCAGCAACCGCGCACGCTCGACCAAGAGAAGAAGCACGGAACTGTGACCCGTGTGCGTGTGCGTGTGTATGTTTGAGTGCGTGCGCGCGCGCGCGCGCGGGCGGGCGGCCGAGCGAAAACCGGCGAGTTCAAGTTAAAAGTGAGCGGGTGAGGTGTGAGTCCCAAAGGCCTATTTCATTGAAGTTCGCTGCACGAAAGCAAGAGAAGGCAAAAAGCATACGGGGCAAAAGTTTGTTGCAAGTCGACTAAAAGTTCTTCCCCGTCTTCCTCGCCATCAAGTGCCCCAAGTTACCAAAGGAAGCGCACCCGCACCCGCCAGCAAACCCTGCCCGGGTCCGATCGCTCCCACCCTCCCTTTTTTCCCCGCTTGAGGGTCTTTTTTTTTTTTTTTTTTACACACGCGCGCACGCACACACAGAGACGGGGGTGGGGTGGGGAGCAGAGAGCAAAAGCGGCTTCCAACTTGCTAGGGTCATGTGTGCATCGTCCAGCGCGTGGAAGAAAGAATAGGAAGGAGGGAAAGAGATGAATGAGGTGCACAGATGGGACATAAAGAAAGAGGAAGAGCCCGAGAGGTGAAAGAGCCGCAGCTTTTTCCCCATTGCGTCTTTTAAAGGGCTTTATGCAAAAGCTAGGGCGCGGGGAGAAGGGGGTGGGGGGGGAAGAGAGAAGAAGAGGGGGATGCCAAGGCACGTGTGGAAAGGTAAAGGGGGGGGGTCCGAGCCGGGGAGGGGGGGGTTGTTGTAGAGGAGACGTGAAGGGGGTTAGAAACAAACAAACAGGAGACTTAAAAGTGGATGAGAAAATGCGAAATGGCAAACTCACCCGCTGGAAACGGCCTGGCGGTGCCAGTTAAGGGGCTCCCCCCACTGCGGGCGGGTGAGTGAGTGACTCTGTCTGTCTGTCTGTCCCTCCCTTTACTCACTCCGTCCCACCCTCCCTCCCTCTCTCCCTTTCTAGCCTGCCAGCCAGCCCCATGCAGGAGGCACAGCGTGCAACACAGGCACACAATAAATAACAATAGAGCCCTCCGCTCGAGTCGGGAACTAGCTTTCCAAAAGGGGAGAGCAGCAGCAGCAGCAGCAATCAGGCAAGGCAAGGCAATCCGGCAGCAGCGGCAGCAGCAGGGAAGGAGGGAGGGAGCAGGAGGAGGAGGAGAGAGGGAGGGAGGGAAGTAAGGCAGGCGATCCTCTTCGCCCACTTGGGATCCCCCGCCGCCGCCGTCCGGGCTGCTCGCGGCGGTGCTCCAAGCGCCTCGAGCGTCGCCGCCGCGGGAGCGTGGAGCTTTTTTTGCGCGGAAAAAACACGCTTTTGGGGAAGAAGGGTGAGGAAAAATAACACCCCGCGGAGGGAGATTTTGTTATTTTTTGCTGTTATGAGTCCCTGACGTCACATCCACCTGCTGGGTAAACAAGGCTCAGTGCAAAAAGAAGAAGGGGGGGGAGAGGGAGATACATCGCGTTTGCAAAAAAAAAAGGGGGGGGGGAATCAGGGGAGGAGGGGGAGGCAGAGGGGACGGAGCGCGGCAAAGAGGTGTTGGAGCCGGCGGGGAGGAGGAGAGCTGCCGGAGGAGAGTCGCAAGAGATGGGGAGGAAAGGGAGCGAGGGTAGAAAAGCCAAGAAAACTAGACGGGGAGGGGAGGTTTTTTTGGGGGAGGGGGGAAAGAGCAAACACAAGGGGTCGAGTGGGGGGGGGTAGGGCTGAGATTGGAAGAGGTTGAGTCGATTTCAATTAGGTAATCTTAGGCTCGCTTTTGTTGGATCCTTTCTAGATCTCCAGAAAAAAGGAATCCGAGGTCCTCCTCTTCTCCACCCCCAAAAGCAAACAAACAAAACAGACGGGGGGGGGGGGAGAAGAGTGAAAGGGAAGGAATTCAAAAGTGCAAATGCTGCGCGAGCCAATTTCCTCTTCTCCCCTCTGCTTTCTCTCTCTCTGTGTGTGTCGGGCGGCGTGCGCTCTCTCTCTCTCTCTCTCTCTCTCTCTCTCCCCTTTCTCCCCCACACTTGCCCCTTGCACTTTACCCAATGAAAAGAGGAGAGTTCGGGAGGTGAAAGTTCATTAGAAGGACAAACGCATGTGTGCAAAGAAACAAGACACGTCCACCATCTCTTTTTAAAGGCTCGCCTGCCCGCTGGCCCTTGTTGCGTGTTTGTTCTAGAGGTGAAGAAAGTCTCTTCGATTGCAAGGAATTTCGGCATTCAACCCACGGGCTTGCTTTAAAAAAAAAAAAAAAAAAAAGGGCTCCCGGAGAACAGAACAACAAAACTTCCTCCTGGTTTTGGTTTTTGAGAGTGGTGGGTGGGTATCGATATGCCTTCCCTGCTTTCTTCCTATAAAGTTGACCACAGGTTAGCATGTCCAGTGTGGTTTTAACCTAAGTTACCTGCTTCTGTATCCATTCTGAAATAAAAGTTTGGAGTACAAGAATACTCCAGAAAAAAGTTTGTTTTCTTTCTGGTAAGATTGGTTTCCATCAGCAGGAGATAAAGGGAAGAAACTTTTTTTCCTTCTTCAAACATCAAATTCTCTTAACAAATTTGTAAAGTTTAACTCTTCATGAGAAGAAGCCCTAAAAGGCGGAAGGGGTAACCATTTCTCCACATTTGTCCCTTGCTTAGATGAGCTGGATAAAGAGTCCCTTCTAGGAACAGACAAGATAGGCATTTTGCAAACACTCTTGAATGCAATGCGTTTCCTAATGTAATACATTGCATTGTATTAATTGTACCACTGAGGCCTTTATTCTCCTAACTTAGCCTATTGGCAATCTTTTACAGGCTGAAAAAACACAATTTCAATATTTTTTCTAATATATATGAGTAATCAGCTCTTCAAAGCCATTTCTGAAAGTATCCAAGCTAGTCCTGTAATACAGAATCATAGTCCATTATATTTATAGATAAGTAAATCAGGGAACAGAAAAGGTTATGTTACCTGTGTCAAGTTCACACAATGAGTCAGTGGTAAAGCTGCAAGTAATATTCAAAGCTGCTTCCGTTTCTCAGACCTGTGGTTTAACCACTAAACAATGCACCATACTTGACATGCATAATCTAAAGACTTATTCGCTCATTTTATACTATTAATAAGTATGGGCTCTGAATGGATCCCTAATAAAACACTTTCATAGCCTCAATAATCTATTCTTACACCTATCTTATAAGGAGTTTTATAAATATTTATGCACATTTTAACCCATGACAGGTAAGTATTAGAGTGAAATACTGGCTCCATTATATGCAAGTTTTTAAAAGGCCTACACCTTAACCTTGCACATATAAACCTTTCATACACAATTATTTTTGCCTGGTCCTTGGTTTTGCATATGTGACTTAATTATATGCCCCTTTGCCTATCAAAGGGATCCCAGTTACCAAAATTACTTGTCTTACATTTTAAACCTATTTTATTTATTTTTGCCTGGTTTTAAAATTTCCACTGGGAATTTACAGCGTTTAAGCATTTTCACAAATGCTTAATTTTGAATGAATGTTGAACAAAGAATAGAAGATAGATAACTTTGAACTTAGTAAATGTGCATATTAGACCATAACCAGTTATAAATACATGGCTTTGCAAATGATCCCTGTCTAAATATATTACTAGCAATATTAGTATAATAGTCTACTTGGGAAAAATACAATTTTAAAATAACTTAAAGCATATTTCAAATTAAACTAGGTATCTGTTTATCTTTTGGGGAAATGATAAAAATAAAACACATTTAGTATTTGGGTTAAAATAAATTGTGGTCTGAATTGTATTCTACTCCAATCTTAATTTTTTGTAAATTGTCATGTATTTTTGGATTCCATGTAATGACAGAAACCACCTGTACTGATCTTGGAAAATACCTCATTCTCTAGAAAATATTTGTTTGCTTGCTTGCTTGTTTATTTAATTTATATGCTGTCTGTCTTGCCAAAAGCAACTCTTATAGGCACTGGGAACTATATAGGACCCAAACGTCCTCCATATCTCAATATTTATTGATTAACCCTTGGGACATATCAAAGTGCAGAGTTCCAGAAACAAATTATTACTAAAATTTGATAAAAGCAATTTAAAATGGAATTGAATTAAATACAAACATCCTCCATATAAAATATTCAGCATTAATTCTTAAACTGGAAAAATGTTAGTGGATCCATGTACCGGTATGTCTCTAAATTAGGCCTTTGATCCAATTGTGTACTGGCCTAACTAATTATTGAAAGGATGGAATAATGAAACAAGTACATACTGGCTTTCCTGAATGTAATAGACATTTTTCATTCTATTAATATTACTACTAAGTTCCATGTTTCTTTTGTATGATGTCAAATGAGATAAATAGGCATGTTGATTTCTTACATTGATTAATACACTATATATAAAACATTGAATTTAGATTTGCGTTGTAAAGCACACTACAATTTTACATTTGTCTTGCAACAACAAAGGTTACCTCCTAAAATTTGATGACATTTCCAGATCTAATTAATAGCTATCAGAATGCTTTATTAGTTGCAAGATGCATATGTGTCACATGAGAGTCTTTCTAACACTAAAATGCAGCGATTCTATGCACCAGATTATGCTGTTTAAATCATTTTTCTCCTTTGATTAATATAATCAAATATAGATTTACTATTACACCGCTGTAAATTTCATAGGTTAAAGAATTTATTGTATGAACTGAAAAATAAATACTTTGCATTTTCATTCCAAAATGCTCAGATTAGTTTTAATACTATGATGAGTGTTGTAAAAGGAATTGATATACATGTCCAATGGATTACAGTTAAAACAAACAGTTCATATTCAGTCTGAAAGGATATTGTAGAATTTAAATATTACTTTAGTCATTTCAGTTATGAGGTTCAGTTTTATTGTTGAAAGCAAAAGTTTTTGGGGGAAAATATTGTCATAGTATTTTTGCCTTGTATAAGGAAAATCAATGGATATAAGGATGCTAAAAGTTTCTATCAGGCTCCCGGTTTCATTTTTAATTTATTTTTTTTAAAATTTCATTTATTGCTTCATATTTTCTTAAATTACTATAGATATATACATTGAAAAATAAGTCCACATGAATTCAAATGCATTTACTGATAAATCAGTTTAGTAGTGCAAATTTGATAGTAGAATATTTGTATTTTGGAATAAGAAATACCATAAAATAATAAGTCTTTTTAATGTTGCAATATGAGGTGTTACATTCCAGTATCTGTTCAACAAAAATGATGAAGGTTTGCATGTCCATTTGGTAGATATTAATGGGGATCTTAACTGCAGCTTAACATATTGTTCATTTTCAACACTGTCACGTTGCACTCATATAGAGCACATTTTAATTTCTTGATCAGTAATCAAATGGAAGTTTCTTTTGGCAAATTAAAACGGGAAGGATTTTTGTGTGGAAGAAAGGATATGGGAATATGACGCCACCTTTTGGTGATAAAAGTAAATACTACAGATTTGAATTCTTAAGAAAGACTCCTGGTACACTTTTTAAAGAATAAGAGCAAAGTACTTACGCCTCCTGTAATTCATTATATTTTAAATAAAGAAGAGGAAAATCATTAAGATAAATATTTGTATGGCAAAAGATAAAAAGTAAGTACATCTAAAATTATTCTTTAAGTACATCTAAAATAATAGATGTACTTAAAGAATAATCTAATCTCGATGGATGTGTGAAAAGCTAGAAAAATTTGCACTCAAATTACATATAATACTACAGATTTTGAAAATGCAATGAAAACCAAAGACTTTTCTTTGGGATTGATGGCTAAGCAGCTGGGAAAAATATGGAATTGTGTTTCTATATATGATGACTAGCAAAACTAGGCACAAAGGTGAAAGATTCAACTTTATCCATAATGGAAAAATGGGTAGTGAAGATGATGGAAATTGCTGGAATGGCCAAATAGACTACTTTAATTAGAGATAGAACATTGTCTAAATTTAAGGGTGATTCGAAACCTCTTACTGATTTTTCTGCAGGAAACAAAATAAAATAATGTCATGTGGTTTTGATGATTCAAATAAAAATAATAGATTTTAGAAAAAATAATGCTGTTGCTATTTTATATTTGTACTTACAACTGCTGTAAAAGAAAATCAGAAGTCACTTTATATTCTTTCATTTCTGCATTTTTGTCTTTGCTTTTTTCATTTTTTTGATTTTTTAATTCTAAATCTTTTAATTTTTTATTCTGTGTTAAAATTTTTGAAAAATTTTATTTTAAAAAAGAATAATCTGTAATCATATTTAGAAAGCTGTACCATAATATGAATAGACAAAATTGTCTAAACTGTCAGAAAAGAAGACCAATATAACAATAAGCTTCATGTTGTAGCTCATCTACCTGAAATAAAATGAATTAGTTGTAAATACATGAGACCTAGGATAGAGGTGGAGATGTTTGTCAACCTGTTTTAATTTTCTCTTTGCCTTTTTCCCAGCCTTTTATTCCTACTTGAAGAAAAGTCATGAAGAATAAAAGCAAAAGGTTTAAAAATAATTACGATAGGTAAGAGATGTTAGGATTGCTCAACCTTTTTTTGGGGAAAAAAAAGAACAGGCAGGCATTCTGTGAAAAGCCAAAGCACTTGAATAAACATGTGTTTATGATTAAAAAGATGGGCTGTCTTGTTTTTGCTGTGCTGATTTAAGCCAGTCTGCCAGCTCTATAAAATGTGATTAATTCCTCTGACAATAACAGCAGTGGGATTTATTCCTTACTCCTATGCAATTGTTAATTGCTCTTGAATTGTTTACTGCTGTAGTTGTTTTACAAGTGCAAAGACAAACAGAAAGAAACTCCTTCCCCTTTCAAACCTTAAATCCCAGGTGTGATTGAATGCTTGGCAGATTTTGGTAAGGGTGTACACAGGTTATGACTACAGCTTGTTAGTTTAAAAAAATGGAGGTGATGACGCCTCTATAATTATAGGTGTTGCAGTTTTAAAGTCAGAATGTTTTTCCATCCATTGCTCTGCCCCACCCCCTGTATCCTATGAGCCATGTTTCCTGGAGTCTTTCAGATTTTAGATGTTTTGTGAGGATCCTTAAAATCCATCAACAAGCCTTTGTCATGAGGAAAACTATGAAATTAATTTTGAAGTTGTTTATCCATCATATATACACATAGTAAAATAATGCTATTGTTTATTAGAGAAAGGCAGTTATTTTTATTTTGCCAATGTGCTTCTGAATGTAGAGCTTTGTAGGACTGAAAATAGTAGAGTTTAAGAAGGGAAGGATTTTAATTAGTTCATAGCTAGTGCTTTTTTCTGAGCAAGGTATGTAACGCTTCTAGCAATTTGTCAAATATTCTTTTTGACATTGTAATTTTATTTTTGTTCTGTAATTGAAGCAAGCAATCTTGAATGTGTGGATATAATAATGGTTCATTTAAAAATACAATTAATTGATCTGTCACTTACTGCAAGCCAGTTACTTAATTCATTGATTACCTGGGCAGAATATCTTCTATTTTGAACCTGGATACCTTTTTAGAATTTTAACCTGCTGGGTATATGCAGTTACTGTACTAAAATTATGTTAAATTTATACTGAAAATGTGTTGATTAACTTGCAGTTTTGTGGCTTAGTGAAGAAAAGTGGGGGGGAAATTGCTTGCTATTGTAAAGAATTTCAGACCAGGTATTATTCAGCATGTGAAGCATGATAGTTTAGTTAAATTACATCAGATTTCTACAGATGTTAGATAGGCATTAATAAATTATGGGCTTATCCAGAATAGTCTGCTCTAGAGTATTTCAGATGTAAATAACATGTGAAGCTAAAAGTTTGCCTGTGCTTTCCCTGCTATTCTCATTTGCAAGGCTGGATAATTCTAATATATGCAAAACCATATAATAGAATTATTATATGCCATAAATAAAATACATTGACTTCAATGGAAGTTTCTCTTGGAAAAAAATATTGATAGCTTGCATCTTAATCTCACCACTCTCTCTCTCTCCTCCCAGCTCTTTAATGTCACTCTTCATATGAAGTTGCTCTTCTTGCATTTTGTCTGTAACAAGATATCAGAAAACCTTATCTGGATCTATACCGTATATCATTTAATAAAAAGATGAAGCTATTCTGTTTATTTTCTCCAATAATATTGGAAAAACCAATCACTGCCAGATTTATAGAAGCCCTTCCCTTTTCTTTTGAGATGAAAAAAACTGCAAAAAAATGAGAAATAAACATTCTATTTGTGCTTCCTTCTTTGACACAGTCCATGCCTTTACATTGCCTCTTTCTTTCTCCCAGTGTCACACAACAATACATAGATACATTTGCTTCTATCTTCCTGTTAGTGGCGTCCATTGTGTACCTCTAATTCTCTTTGGAGGCGCGTCTGGCTCAAGGAAGAGAAAAAATAATTATAATGAAGTATTTTCTTCTGTTTTTAAAAGATGGATAATGCGATCATGTTTCAAATAGATTTTGAAGAAAGGAAATAATGAGGTAAGACATCTATTCTCTGCCTATATCATGTCACATAAATTAAAAAATGGCTTGTTTGGATGTCAGAAGAACATCCAAATAATTCCAATGGCAAAAATTTTTGGCAAAAGCTACATCAGAAATAATAGAAATATGACATTATGAATTCATAATGTCATATTTGGAAAGCCGTTTTAAAAATGCGCTCTAAGGTATTTTTTAATGACTTTAAAAACCTATTGATTCCAAAGGCTCATATTTTATGTTTGTATCTGTGTTGAAGGAAGTAGGAAGTTACTTTTTTCTATAGCTTTTTTTCCTGTGCTTCCCAATTTTTCTTTCTCCCTGTCCCTTTTCCCTCTAATTTTATCTTTCTCTTTTGCTATTTAACATATTTTTAATGTTTTACTTATTGTCTATTGATACATTCTTTTTTTTAAAGACCAGTAGATGAGTACGTTTCCAAAATACCAATATATGTCCAATGCTTACTGATCAATTTGTTTCAATGTTAGCTGATTTCAATTTTTTAATTTTAAATCATTACATAATTTGCTGGTAAAATAATGCAAAGTGAGTGGGGGTTTATTTTCTCTTCTTTTGATTAAATGTTTTTTTGGGGGGGGGTTGGTTTTTTTTTTTTTGTTTTTGTTTTATTTTTTTTGCTTACTGTGTTAAATCTCAGAAAATTAAAATTTGATGATATTGAAAAAGGTTGGGGGGGTGAATGTGAAAATCATCACATAACTCTGTGATCATAGACTGTATCTGGTTTAAATTGCATGAAACCTGCTTGTCAGTTTGGGGTTGGGCAGCCAGTAAATTTAAAAACATAAATAAATGAGATGCAAACAGCATGAATGAAAAAAGTGTATAGGTTAGTGTGCCTGCCAACCAAAATCTAAGCATAGAATTGCCCATAGTATTATTTTGAAATATCCTATATAGTAGAGTATGAAATAGCATTATCAAACATAGAAGGAGGCACTAAAGAATGAGAAGAGTCCAGGCAGCAATACCTAAACGTGTGCCATAGTTCTTTTAAAAAAATCCTTGTACAAGTGGCTGCCTGGGCTCTTGTACATATTTGAGTTAGCAACTGTGTGTGACCAGAGAATCTACCAGGCAGCAGATTGTAATCACACTCAATTGAACACTATTACATTCTCACTATACAGCTTTCCTGTCAGTGTGAGATTGGGCTGGGGTGAAGTATGCATTCTTATTGCCTCTCTACAGCCCTTTTACAAACACCCAAAGGAAATCTTTACAGTAATCCAAAGAGACGCTTTTGTGTGTAATGATATGTGTCTGTGCACTAACATTCTGAATTTTAAAATCATTGAACATAATGGCCATTTTGAAACTTTCATAATATCCAGAAACAGAATGTCATACACCACAGTGGGCTACTCTACTCAAGGAGCAGGGGGATATAGATAATAAAGAATTTATTCATATGATTTCATCAGCCAAATAAAGCATGTTTTGCCAGGTCCTTTATTATTTTTAATAACCACTCTTTCACTTATTACATTTGTATTGTTTTCTGAGCCTGAAACTGACATTGAAATCAGTCTATACCTGATCCAAACACTATTAAATGTATTCCATTGTTATTCCATTGTCTGAAAATTCTGTATCATCCTAAACAAATTATACACATACTTACAAGTAATTTTTTGAGTTATATGAATTTTCATTTTGCTTGAAAGCCCTGACAGATTTTTTTTTTACATCACTTCCTCTAAAACAGTTCTGTTTCTTCAATAAGTTTTCCATAGAAAGTTCTAGTGGTACTTTTCTTTCCTGAATACTATAGTGTTTAATGTCAACTAACAATTCATATGTAAGTCTACAACACACTAAACTGGAAAATACTTTTTTGTCTCTTAGCTTATAAAATAAACCACATCTCATCTTTCCCATATGAATAGTTTTTACCCAAGGTAATGTTACGAGAAATGTAACTGATAAGAATAATTAAATATCACTGATATAGGATTGATGTCTAGAGCAAATTCTTGCTTAGTGCAAAAACATACTTTCGTATTTTATTCTCCCACACCCTTCTTAGATTTCCTGTAAACATCTGCTCATAAACAACTATCATATAATTCCATTCCTTTGGAGTAAGTTTAGATATATTGATGGATGGAATTAAATAGAGGAGAAGGAGACTACTTTATTATCTACTGAATCTTGGAATGTGGGCCTGGATCAATAGTCTTTGTAGTTAAGAATCAAAATCCCTTAGAAGACTGAGCTAAAGACAAATAGTTACACAATTACAGAATGGCCTGATTCCTTGACCAACACAACTTCTTTGTTGCTTAAAATCCAGCATCCTCTCCTCACTTTCTCGAAAGAATATGATAATAAGCTCCAGACTTAATTCCACTGCATCATTTTGGAACAGGACAGTTGAAGGGATTGTTGCTGAATTTCAATTGTTGCTGAAATACTTTTATACTCACCATCGATGTGTATTAATGCTTCAGCTGCTGATTAGACCATGCAAACAAATTTAAAATAGTAGCAGCAGTGTACCATGTTTCTCTGAAAATAAGACCCTGTCTTATATTTTTTTGGAATCCCGAAATAAGCGCTTGGCCTTATTTTCGGGGAGGTATTATTTTGGGGCACATGGAAGCCAGAGGAAATGGTGACGACCGGCTGTGCATGCATTTAAATATTTTCGGGGAGGGCTTATTTTCAGGGGGGGCTTATTTTAGGGCATGCACTCAAAAGCCGGATTGGATTTATTATCAGGGGATGTCTTATTTTCAGGGAAACAGTATTATGGTGGCTTTCTGTCTGTCTGTCTTTCAAAATGCAGCATTGTAAACTACTGATTTGTATTGAAGTTGGCTTTCTAATATGCATGTTTCTTTCACAGAAAGAGGCAGCAATTTGCCCATTTAGTCCATTATTGATATTGGTAATAACTCCTAGCATACTTATCTAATAGATTTTTAATCAAATTATGCAAAATAAATCAGTTATGTTTTTCATGTAAAGCAAAACAAAGCAGAGCTATATTACTTTGAGAGTGTCTAATGAAAGTCTAGAAGCAATTTATATAGTCAACTTGCAGTGTTGAAAATCTTCATCCTGGCCACACAATAAACTACTATTACCACATGTTAATGTTGGAGTTGCAGGAGAAAGAACGGATGGTTTACCTAAGGCTGCCTAACAAATTAGTAGCAGTGTTCTAATTTTAATAGTGACTTCCAGATTACCACATATAAATGTTATTTGTGAAATTCGGCATTGCATAAGAGGACATCTCTTGATCTCCATTCTGCTTCAGCTCCTTAGTGTTCCCCAATGCCAACATCTGCTCTAGGAAATGCCTATTCTCCAGATGAGATTATTAGGATTTGGGAAAAAAGGAATCCTCTCCCCATCCTGTACATTAAAACCTCTGATTTTCCCACCAACATGGGAAGAAGTGGATACTACCCTATGTTGTCAATACCAACTTTCAGTCTATTTGTATTCAATATTTAGGATTCCAAACAAAGAACGTTAATTATGGCAGAGATGTACCAATTTATCTTGGAGCACCAGAGTATATTTGTTATGATAATCTGCCTCTCTATTGGGATAACAGAACGCTAATTCTGTTATCCCAAAAACAGAATGTTATTTTTATTTTGGGATGACGCTGCTATATAAAAGTTATCACTGATCGAAATATAATCCACTGACAGATACAACAGTTGAGCAGCTCTTACCTATATGAAGATTTAAATTAAAGCATGATTCAAGTAAACCCTTTGTCTTGAACTGCATTAGTATTTACATTCCTTTTTAATTCTGTTTAAGCTTTTATTTAACATGCAGAGTGCAAATATAAATGTAAATATATGCTTTATTTCCATGCCATCTGATTAAACAGAGATCTTATACTTGTGGTTACTCTTTTCAAGCAGACCACTGAAAGACAATGAAAAGATAGTCTTACAATTGGTTCTGCAATTCGCAAAGTTAAGATTTTTATTTCTAGCAATTGTCTTAGATTATTTCAAGCATGAAGAGAAAACTAGTTTAATACTTCATAACTATTCCTGGTATTTCAGATCTTTTCTGCTTTCAGCGTGAAGCTTTTTTGCTCCCCTAAAGAAGTTTCTTTCTTCTGGCTAGGTAACTTTGAGCCAGTCATTCTCACTCAGCTCAATCCACTTCACAGTAGGTTGTGTTCTGACCCAGCCTTCTCAAGTAATGATAAGCCACTTACTCACGAGTAAAACAACCCCCTTTTCAAAACAGGGTAGGAACAGTCTTTTATTCACATGGATAAACAAAAACCAAATGTAATTAGTCCCAACAAACCTGGTTCTGGCCAAGGACTCCGAATTGTTTGCTGTATACTAGAAAACGAACAGTTGTCTGTGACAACTGGCCACTCCCAAACCCCTACTATTTCCCAGCCAGGGAGGGGCTGGCTAGTGTCTAAATCTGCTTTTCCCTGAGAGCCAGCTCATTGCTTTCCTTTGCTCTCCTCTCCTTTCCTCTAAGCAAATGCGCATCTGGGATGGGCACCATCTATTGCTCCTCTTCACTCAACTCAGGCCCTGAAGACAGCGGATTCTCTACCTGGGGAGGACGGAAGGCCCCAGCTCTGCTTCTGCCTCTGATGTTGTTTCCTTATCAGGGGCTTCCAAAGGCTCCGAAGCTGGCCCAGGTTCTCCTTCAACCTCTTCATCGTCTAGCTCTGCTGGCAGCCAACGGGCCACAACAGGTTGTTGTGGTGGGGGAAAATAGAAGAAGAAGCAATGTTCCATGCCTTGAGTTATTTATTACAAAAAGGGGGGGGGAGAATTTAGGATCAGGAAAACATGAGGACAGAAATAATTGTTCATCTTTTAAAAATTCTTGTCTAGATTTTATCAATCAGTACAGCTGAATTTGATTTGAATATTTATATGGTGCAAATATATTTCTTATATTTTTTTACAGCAAGTACAATTTTAAAAACCCTAATATGAAATATATAAAATAGGCAATCCACATCAGATGTTTATTTATTTATTTTTGGTTGTGATGATGTAGCTATCTGGTTAGCTAAAAAGTGGAGAAATGCTACTGCTACTACTATATTATTAAAAAAATTATTCAGTCTTTTTTTCTAAAGACTAGATAAAATGAGATAATAAATTGTGAATTTCCCCACTCCATGGGCAAACCCTACAAGAGTCAAAAGGGAAAGGCATTTTAAGTTTTTCATTACAAAGGGAGGGTCATAATCAAGGAAAATAAATACAGGTGTCTTCATTTAGTGATTGCAATTGTCTCAAAGTTGTGATCATGCGATTGGGATACTGCAACAATCATAAATTTGAAAATTGGTTGCAAAGTTTGTTGGATTTATAGCACCTTCATAACTGAATAGTCACTGTATGAGGCAGTCATTACACAAGGACTATCTACACAATTTTGCTGATAAGGAAACTTTCTCTTCTTGTCATGGTAGAGTAGAACTGGGTTATCCAATAAGACTGAAAGATGGGGAACTCAGAAGGAAAAAAATCTTCATTGCTGTGACAATCTGTGCAATTTACCACCACAATTGTGATAACCATGAACTTGTACATTTAAAGGCAAATTGGTGTGCCAGCTGGCCCAGAGTTCTTTTTCTTTTTGTTTGGAACCTGACACAAATTTGCAAAGGAGAAGGCTGCTGGTGGCTTCTTTTAATATTATAAGCCATATGTCTCCAAGAAGAGTCTTTGAGGAACATGATCAAGAAGAAATTACTAAATTCATGTCTTCATCATAAGAAAGAATTATTTCCGATATGATCATGACTTTTTTATATTTATATTTTTTAATATTTATTTGACTGCTTCATCTTGTGAACTGTGCTGTCTTTCACACAGGTCATGCAGGTCTGTAGGTTGCTATTGGGCTAGTATTATACTTTTATTGTCCAACATACTATATTCCCCATACATTTACATTTAAGCATGTATTAGCAGGGAACCCTATTGTGACTCTGAAATATGAATACCTAATATAATTTATTTCAGCAGATACAATTCCTTGAATTTTTAATAGAAAACACTTCTAAGCTATATTTTTCTTCACTAGAGGGGTGATACTGAAGGTGGAATTGCTGGCCAGAAACAGTCTGCACTCTGGCGGCTCCAACCCACCTCCGTGAGATGCAGTGAGCCCCCATCGTTCGACCTGTAGCTCCTGCCCATCCAGCAGTTCAAAAGCATCAAAAGATATTGTGAATAGATAAATGGGTACCACTTCGGTGAGAAAAGCCTAACTCAGATGTAAAGAGCGTAGAAGCCAGCAGTGGATTTGGCTGGATGCGAGGTGTGAGATGAGGTAAGGCAAGGTGAGACCAGCAGAAGAACCTGGAAGAGCCAGCACCCTGAGCGCTGCTAGCTAATGGTGCAAAGCTAGTTCACCCCCTGCGGTGCACCAAGAATAGACGCACAAGAGCCAAACAGAATGAACTAGCAGTGTAGGCTATCAGGACTGTATGGTGTCTAGCATATGTAGATTTCCCTAACATTGTATGTCATACGCTAAATAATAAATAATTATAAACAATTCTTTTTTATTAATGGAATCAGATTATTTCAGCCTAATATAATGAGGGGAAATACTTTCCTTGCCTCCATTCTACTTTCAGTGGTCCAAAAGCCAACAGATATTATCTACACCAAGCAGATGAAAGTTTGGAAACAATAATAAATAAAGTTTCCAAGAATTCTTTGCTGTGAAAGATGATTGAAAATCCTGGAGAAAAGGAAGAGGAATATTATCTAATGCTTAGGTTGTGATGTTCAGTCTTTTATAGCAAGCAGTTTGACATTGAATAGTATCTCATACAAAAATGGTATTAAATTGTACTAAAATCTCACAAAGCCTGTTTGCGGGGGGGGGGAGAACAAACAATAGTTTATATCCCATTTTTGAAACTGATATTCCAGCTGAAAAGGGAAAAGCTACGCTATATCCATCCACTTAAAAAGATGTATCCTGTGAGAATATCTGTGATGGGAGAAAATCTTTAAAGCTGAAACGTACAGCTAGAGAAGATGAAATCCGGTTGTACATTTCAACCTTGAGGAAACCAAATGAGGTTAATGAAACCTTGTTCTAGTGAGTTTGGAGGTTAGACGGGAGAAGCAGGCTTAAACTCAATCCTGACAGGTCACGATAGCTGGGGGTTTGGGGTTCTCTCATTACTTTCCATATTTAGTGTGTAGCTTGGGATTCCTCCTGAACTCACTGCTCCTGCCCAATAGATTGGGTGCCTATACATTTAATAAAATAACGAAACCTATTACAAAACATCAAAAATACATTTTATTGGGTAAAACCATTGGTCCACTTAACCTCTGATCAGCAATTCCAGGATGGAGTTTTCCCAGCTCTAACTCAGAAAGGCTTGAGAATGAGCTGGGACCTTTTACATATAAACCTGACATCTGCCACTAAGATATAACTCCCCATTAACACAAAGTGCCATAGCATGATCTCTCAAGAGACTATGATTTACAATCCTCACTATCTACAGCCAGTATACTTAATAACCAACATATCTGGAGGATATAAAGTACAGAAGGATGCATTAAATTATGTGTTTTGAACAGGTTAACATAATGAAGTGACCATAGTCTTCTCACTAGCCTTAACCCTAGAAGCTGCTAATACTAGCTTTTTGGAGATTGTTACTTCCTCCTGCTGTGGATCTGAAAATGTTACTTGCACTTTAAATTCTTTGATCAGAGACTACCATTTAAAAAAAAACTGTTAGTAGGATATTCAATGAAGATATATTAAATAGTAGTAGTAGTAGTGGCAGCACCAGCTGTGCATTGATGCTTCTTTGCATGGGTATTCTTTGTGCTCTCCCAGCATTATTACGTTTTTCATCCGATTATTCAGTTATCATATTTATCCCAAAGGAAGCCAATTCAAGAAAAGGAAGATTTTAAAAAAGGTTGTATCTTTCTTATCATAGTCTCAGAACATGAAAGATGACATAGTCATTGTTTGGTCTAGTGGTTGGGCTATGCTAGAAAGCAGGAGACCATGAGTTCAACTACTGCCTTAGCCATGAAAGCCAGCTGGGTGATTTAGGGCCACTCACTATCTTTCAACCCAACACACCCTACAGCAGGGATGTCAAGCTTGCGTCATCACAGTGTCATAATGTGACGTATCACAACTTATTTCCCCTTCACTAAACTGGGCATGGGCAGCGTGTGACGCATCCAACCTGCAGGCCACAAATATAACACCCCTCCCCTACAGGGTGGTTATGGGAAAAATAGGAGGAGAAAGTTATATTGGATTTGTTCACCACCTTGAGCTATTTCTAAAAATAATATAGGTGGGATACAAATACCATAAATAAATAAAATAAAAATAAATTTATTTGAGAAAGAACTTGTCTTCCTTCTGGAAAAATACAACATTATGTTTGCAACTAAGAACATAATTGAATGCAGACATTATGCTGAGCCTTCCTTTCTCTCAGGTGAAGGACCCTATGCCTAGCTACAAGTCTAGGTAAGAGAATACCACTGGATTGTGATTCATACTCCCGCAGTCTCCTACCGCTAAACTCCAACACAATACATCCATTTGCCTGCAAATTGAGAATTGTGTTCAACTCTCTGTGGTTCTGCTATAACAATATCTTCTTGCTGAGAAGCTTTTCCTGACTGCTGAGATGTACAGCACTTAGGCTGAACAAAAAGCAAGTTACCAGCAGTAATTTCAATCCTCACCTTCCACCCCCTATATTCTCACTGAGTTCTACTATAATATAATGTTAAAATACATATTAGAAAGCATATTAGCCCTTGCAATGTCTACATTTGTGCTAAATGCAATACTCTTTACTGATATTATAACATGAAGTGACCGTCATGTGTTCTTGGAAGTCTTCAGATGCACTTTGATTTTGTGGAACAACACATCTGCTCATTCTGATAATTTTGTTGCTCTCTGACTTCCAATCTTATATGGTACAAAAATTGACATAAGAGTGTAGGGGTCATAATTAAATTAGCTGGGTTTTAACTTAATAAAATAGGAATAAAAAGACAAGTGGCTTTTTTGTAGTATACCAGGATAACGACTGAAATAAGCTTCCAAATGTTATGGCTGATGATGCCTACTATGTGGCACATTTATCAGTTATTTGTATGGTGAAACAGTTCTCCTTTTACGTTCAATGAACTGAGGGTTTCTGGCTTTTGTTTGGCAGTGCAATTTGTGTTAAAATGCCAATCCAATGCTTTCAGGATAGCAATAATAATTGAGTTTCATGTTGCATTTTGTCAGCCTGATCCTAAACTCTTGCAGCCTGTATTGCCTACAATGCTGGCGTGAAATCATGGTGTTTGGTATTGTTTCAGACCAACATTTAATAGTAATTCTTTCAGCATTCAGTTTAAGGAAAAGCAACAAAAGCAACATTAAGATTGGTCTGTTTCTATGGCCCATTGTAACCTTAGAGATAAATGGGGTATACAAATAATCCTTTCCCTTTGTGTTCTGAACGTTTTGGTAATTTGGCCCCAATCTGAAGAAGATCCTATCAACATATTTATTTACACAGACAGGAAAAAAGTTGAAAACAGTGAAGAAAACAAGGGAATCTGGTATCAAATCTTTGTTTTCCTCTTAGTTCACTTGATAGTCTGGAATTTCTCCAGTTTGTTTCAAAGTATTGTTTCAAAGATAAAACAAAATAACCCAATTTAGGCTGACCTAATCTACTTAGATGAATCAAAGATAGAAAACTACAAATCAGTTAATAATACCTACTTATAAATCATTGTATTTGGGCTTTCATGTAGATGAGGACCTGAGTGTACTCTGGATTTAGACTAGAGCTCAGTCTAGTGATGTGGGAATTTTTTTTTTAATACACTTTGAGAGTCTAATGTCCAACTTTGTTTTGTCAGCATTCCAGTGGCTTATGAAAGATGAATTGGAAGAGTAACATTACAAGAAAACGTTATGTTCAAGCACCATCATCTGAGTATGGTGTTAGAAAATTTGATTGAAATTTGTAAAAATTTATAGGCAATTTGGAATAGACTACAATATTGAAGAAGCAATATGAAACCCTAAAATGTTTGATTCAGCAGATAACATTTATAATTGGTCTCCGAGGAATGCTTTTCTTCAGTTAAATTAAATGAAAGTTAATTTGGTTTCTTTTTTTTCTTAGTCCCTTAAAACTAATGACAGCTGATAGTTATAAACAGATAGGACAATATCTATGACCATCTTTCTCTCTGTCCCTCTCTTCCCCCTCTCTCTCATAAGTATGATGCACTTTTTGCTCTTCTTAACTTGTTTGAAACCTTCCCTGAGAATATACGAAACACTTCAAAGTCTCAGTTGTGCTTGATTCCTATGAGTTCATAATGTTGTCCTTATAACCTTTTTGTCAACAAATGGAAGTGGTTTGCCTTTTGTTTGGTTAGTATAATCCTAATTACCTTTCAACATCAGTCAAAATCAGTTTGGTGCAAGCCTCTAATGAGAATATATGTACAGTTAGAGATCTACATGCACAAACATCTTCTGCGCTGTGGAATAGATAAAGAAATAGAGGAAGAAAGTGTGTTATTTGATACCAATAAAGGAGAATATTTGTAGCTCATGATTGAAATGAGGGGCCCTCAACGCGTGCTCTGAGCTTGGCTGTTTTTTTGCAGACATTTCATTACCCAAACGAGGTAACATCATTGTATGCTGGATCTTTCTGGGTTCTGGGGTTTTGTGATTGAGATACTCCAGGGAGTTGTACAATGTAGTGAGCCTTGTGTCTTTTACTATTCCAATGATGGTGTGTTAATCCTATTATGTCCTAAAGGACATGTCCTGTCCTTAGAATTGTGGGGGGGGGGGGGGGGCGAATGGGGAAATATTATATTTGGGGAAATACAATATTCTGCCTCTTTTTAATATTAAGAATAAACAATGTTTTAATCTGAGGAGGTTGGCCTTCCTACACTACGTTATAGTATCTTAGAGAAAATTTGAATCATTTTTATGGCATAGTCAGGATATTAAGTTTTCAAGAATTAGTTAGAAAGTCGCCATATTAGGTGCTACTGTCTTGTAATAGCTTTTTCCCACATATTTTTATTCAAGTTCTAGTTTTGCTTTGAAGGCATAGCTCAAAAGTGGGAGAAACTGATTCTGAGGGCTTAATCAAAGCTTGAAGTCTAGAACTGGTTTTTTTTTTTCCCTAAATGAAATAAATGGTTAAATTTAATTTTGTTTCATTCAGTACAATAAAACAATGTTGTTACAAAGAACTGTTTTAAAACCAGAGGTCATTTGAGTCCTAAACCTGCCAAAGAGAATAATTGGATACTTGGTACTTTGAAACAAAATCAAGGGAACAAAATAAACATGTTTCTGATTACTCAGCACTAATGTTGTATTCTGTCATTATAGTAGATTGCTTAATTGTGTTGCTGATTACTTTTCTGAGTTCCTCATAGCAATGCCATTTCTGCACCAAATGGTGGAAGCACTAATTAGCAACAGGAATGTTGCCTCACATTTTGT